CAGTCACCCAAATTGCAGTAGCCCATGAAGGCAGACATGTGAGAGAAGCAGTGTGGAAGACAGAGCCAGAAGACCAGAGCTTACGTTCTATCTCTATGTAACCTAGAGGCTTCTCATTGAAATTCAATTTCTTCCACTAGAAAATAGGGGATAACATTAGCTTCCTACTTTATAGAACAGTTGTGAAGAATAAAAAAGAGTGTCCATGAAAATGTTTCATAAACTAAGATGTCATACAACTAGGAAATAATATTACCTTTAGATGAATATCTTTGTACCCATTAACCCATAAGTTGCAAGACATTTTTTGCATATGTGTGTATAGACACACATACACATATATGTAATTACGTGCACACATACACATTTATATATTTTTGAGCTGAGGGTCCATCCATAGTTTTCATCAACATCTCAAAGGAAGTCATGTTCTAAAATTGGTTAAGAACCTCTGCACTAAATGGGGTTTCACATCATCAGTCATTAGAAATATGCAAATTAAAACCACTAGGAGATGGGCCGGCCGAGTGGCGCAATGGTTAAGAACTGGCTTGGGATGCCAGAGGGCCCGAGTTTGGATCCCACATATGAGGGCCAGTGACACTGCCCTCTAAAAAAAAAAAAAAAACCACTAGAAGATACCACTACACACTCAGTAGGTTGGCTATTATCAAAAAGACAAGCAATACAGAGTATTGATGAAGGCATGGAAAATCTGGGATACTCATACACTTGCTGGTGGGAATGTAAAATGGTATAGTCAATTTGGAAAACAGTTCAGCAGTTTCTTATAAAATTAAAGATAAACTTACCATAAGGCCCAGCAATTTCACTCCTAGTAATCTACCAAAGAGAATGAAAACATATGTCTGCACAAAGACCTGTGCACAAATGTTCATAGCAGCATTATTCAAAACAGATCAAAACTGGAAAGAAAAATGACCATCACCTTGTGAAGGGATAAACTAAATGAGGCATATCCATATAATAGAATATAGCTCAGCAATAAAAAGGAATGAAATACTAATAAGTACTACAACATGAATGAAACTTGAAAACATTATACTAAGTACAAGAAGCCAGTCACAAAATGCCACATAGTGTATGATTCTACTCATAAGAAATGTCCAGAAAATGTCAAAGTTATAGGGTAGAACACAGATATGTGATTGCCTGTGATTGGAAGGGCAAGGGTAGCAAATGAATGCAAATTGGCTCAAAAAAATTTGGAGGTTGATGAAAAAGTTCTAAAACTAATTGTGGCAATGGTTTCACAACTCTATAAATTTATTAAAAATCACTAAATTGTACATGTACATGAGTGACTATGGTATGGAAATTATGCCTCAGTACAGCTGCTTCTAGAAAAGATATAAATAATGGACAGGATATTTTGAGCTATAACTGTAAAATAAATACAATTAAAATATCTGAAATGATTTAGTCTTGCATATATACCATGGTATTTTAAACTGTGAAGTGTTCTTTATTCTCTCAATGCTGCAATTTCATCATCTGTAAAATGGAAATAAAATTAACTATCTCATAAGCACTTGTGAAGATAAATCAGTTAGTATATATAAAGTATTTAGAAGAGGTTTTGACACACAGTAAGCATGAAATACCTGTTAGTTATAGACACTAACTAGAGAACATGTCACTACCAACCACATATATTTTGTAATATCAACTTCTTTTGATGTTCTTTTTTCTGCTAATAAAAATGGACATTAAAAACTAATGATACTTCCCTAAGTTGGTGTAAATAAAATGCATGTTAATAGAGGCTATTCAAAAAGGATGTGGGAAAATATCATCACTGAAAATCTGGAGTTTCATGGAGTATATTACGGAGAACATAATCTACAAAAATTCATTTTGGTTTTACTTTTATTTCAGAACAAGCAATCAATTCAAAAAACAAATAACTTTAGTCCCCGTTTTCTCTCTCATTTTCTCCTTTATCTGCTTGGTTGCGGTGACCATGCTGAACCTCTTCCTTATCAATTACAGGATGAAGGAAAATGCCTGCCTCTAGAGGTAATAAAATTAGATGGTGCAGAAGTTGGCATTGATAGCAGTTTGGGGAAACCATTTGTGTTTAAATGTGTGCCTCAGTCTGGAAATAGAACTTTTTGCCTCTGTGCAACCTCAAACCAAGAAATGAAAAGGTGATTCATTAATCTTTTATCTTACCAGTTTCAGCTTGCGTGGGGGAATGATTCTTCAACAGCAGTCTTATAAATTATTGGGATTGGAAGTAGGGTAGGGAACAGCGATTCCACAGCAGGACTTAATAAATTGCCTTTTCTTAGGTATGAGAAGTTTGGTTCTTCATTATTTCCCCAGTGTTTGTTTGTTTGTTTGTTTGTTTGTTTGTTTTAGCTGAGCCATCCTGCCACCTGTTGGCAGCTCAGCAGCAGCTCTGCTCCAGCCAGGACTTGAACCGTTGTTGCTCAGAGCTCACATTCTTGAACAAGCTCTTAACCAGCTGAGCCACTTGGCCAGTCCTCCCCCAGTTTTTTCTAACAGAATTTATAAACAACAGAAGCATCTTCTCCTAACTCATTTATTTTAGAACTCCACATTTTCTGAAAAAGCTTAATATGGTCATGGTTCACCTCTAGCTTCCACAAAAGTTACCAAATTTGTATATCTTAAGATAATTAGATAGATAGTCCCAGGTATAAAAATAATGTAGTAGGGTTACAATTTAACACTCGACAGTAATGTGAGCAACATAAATGATAATAATGTAGCTTTGTGGGGAGTGAATCCAGTTGACATTTTGTAAGCACTCAACCCAATTGGAGGGTAGACGTGTGTAAGCATTCCAAGTGCGTCATCTACAAACTTTAAGCATTCAGGGACTTAATGATCATTATTCAGTGTATCACCCTGAGGGAATGGAGATCATTGGTCAATCCGGTGAGTCAACTGAAAACTGTCATGTAAATACTGCTAATTTAGGGTAAGCAGTAGGATGGAGTAGAAGTGAGGGAGGCAACAACAAACAGCTACTGGATCAACTGTGTTTAATGTCAATGGCATATCTCTTTAGGAGAACTCAGACTCCACTCCAATGTTAAAGAGAGCCCTATGTCTGGAACTTCTTAGGTGAACCATATACCATCCCTATTTGTGGAATATTATGTATCAAGTGCATGTTGCTTTAAAGGACAAGCAGGGAAATACGATGATAGTGACTTGATTGTATTTTAATTCATGGATAAAATATTTATTGGGTAGCTAATATGTCCAAGTCACTGTTTTAAGGTCTCTATGGACTATTAGTATGATTAAGCATCAATTGTTTTTGTTGTTGTTTTTTATAAATATTTTTTTATTGTTAGTTTCAGGTGTACAGAACAATACAATAGTTACCCTTTTCACCCTCACAAAATAACAACCCCCCTCCCCCCATCCACTGCCCTCCCACCCCCGATATCATGCTTATCTATTACAATTCCATTGAATCCATTCCCGCACTCTACTCCATGTCCCGAGGTTATATGTATATATAATTATAGTTGACATACAGTATTATTCAACATCAGTTTCAGAAATACAATGCGGTGGTCAGGCCTCTACATCAACTATGAAGTGGACTCCCCAAAAGGACATTGGTCCATCTGGCCCCCTAAGAAATGCTTACAACATTATTGATTGTATTCCTCGGACTGTCTTTTTCTATCCCTGAGGCCATATTGCATTTACCAATTTGTATTGTCTCATCCCTTCCCCTCTCCTTCATCCCCACCCCCTCCCAACTAACAACCCTCAGTTCTTCCTCTGTGTCTCTGAGACTATCTCCATCCACTTCTCCCATCCATTCAGTTCCTTAGAATCCACGTATAAGTGAGATCATATAAATATTTTTTTCTTTATTCAGCAAATACTTTATGAGTGGCTTTTGCATTATGTGCTTTTTTGTTTATCTGGTTTTGTTGTCTGTTTTCTGTTTTGTTTGTTTTGTTTTAATTGGGGAACAGTGTGTTTCTCCAGGACCCATCAGATCCAGGTCAAGTAGTTGTTTCAATCTAGTTGTGGAGGGCGCATGTCAGTGGCCCATGTAGAGAATCAAACCGGCAACCTTGGTGTCATGAATAGTGCGCTCTAACTAACTGAGCTAACTAGCACCCTTAAGCACCAATTCTTGACTTCAGAAAAGCTCTGAGCCAAGAAGATAGGGCATTTATTCCAATATTTTTCATGCAAAATAGAAATTAAGAAGTGCTATAAGATTAGACCTCGTGGCATAGGAGTTAAGGGTATGGAGAGCAGGTCTCTGAGTGTGGGGATGAGGGAGGGGTTTATGAAGGGTGTGGTGTAGGACTGGATAAGTGTACAAGAGAAGAAATGGAACCGAGGAGGGCAGAGGGAATAAATCAAGCTTTGGAAGAAGAGCAAGCAGTGTGGCTAAATGGAAGTTACAGGGTTTAAAAGAAAATTTAAAAGGATTGGCAAGATGGGGTGGGGTGTATAGGCCTGTGCAAGGCTAAGGAGACAGGATTAGGAAAATTCAGTTAGCAAGTACAGGCCCTAATGGTGCACCACATGTGGCCACTACATCCAAGGTACGCTTGGGGCGGGGGCTCAGGACACTGGCTGTTTACCAGCCTTTCCATATTTTAATAGCCAGCGCCTTACGGTTAAGAAGCTAGTTGTTATCAGCCCGGCTGGCTGTTAATACATTCACACACCTTGGTAAAATACAAGGCGAATGTGTTGTCTCTTAGGCACTAATTAAACTATAGTAAAGGAGAAGAATAAGAATAATTTATTTTAACTATGCCTGGTGGGAGTGGGATTTTGCCAACTTGTAACATCAATTTTATAAGAATGTGTTGCCCTACAACCATGAACCGAGAGCAGTGAAATGTATCTGTGCCTCAGGACCGTTCTGTCTAACGGTGGGTTTCAGGGAGAACAGCGGGCCCCTCTGAAAGGCACTTCCCCAGCCCCCCAAGGACAGAGCCTCTCATTTTACTGTCTTTCAGGTGGCTTGAGGCAATGGACAAAGCAGCCCATCCTGTCCGCCAGCTAATGTGTTTCTGCTATTTATCTCCACCTTCGTTCTGCTTTTCTCCTCGGATGGGGAAAGGATCCAATTAGATGTCATGCAGTCCACCCTGGGACTTCTCAGATCTGCTCTACAAGCTGGGAAAGAGGATTTTAGGTCAACAGGTTTCCTGCTCAGATTCTATGGGGGAGTTTGCAATTCTGCTGTTCTTTTTTTTTTTTTTTTCAGGGGTTTGAATGACATTTCTCTCAGTGAGGTCAGTGGGGAATCACAAACTGGGGTGAAATTTCTGTTTCACACAGAGCAGTCCAGTAGTTTCCCATGAGGTTAAACCACTGCTGCTGTTTTCTCTTCACTCCCTAAGTACAAAATGTCAGGGCTGTCGTAGGACAGTGCTGTGGGCTGAGCAGCTTGCTGGAAAATGTGTCTTACGCTCCGAAACACAGGGCTTTATGCTCATATCTTTGTTCTGGAGACATGTTAGCCCACCTTTCATTGTTCCTGCCTGTTCACGATTCGTAGCCTTGAGCAATATAATTTTAAACTTAGATTTGACCTATACACTGATAGATAACGTCACATCAACAGCTAAATCATCACATTAGTCCCTAAGGCATTTGATACCTCTCTTTCTGAGCTAATGCTATGATGTGGGGTGGGGAATTACATTCATACCCAACTGTTTCATTTTTGTTATGGATATGATTTCTCATGAGATTATAGATTTCCTTTAAATGTGTTCATTCCCTCCCAAAAATGGCATACAAGATAACGGCATTTACTATCAATTATCTTCTGTACATATTTTGGCTCTTGTCTATTTGGGAAAATTTGGATTGTTTGAGCTTGAATAGACTGCCCCATGCCCTGTAACTGTCCTTTCAGAACAATCACTGGCATCATCATATGACAAGCAGCGGGACTTGTGTTTCCTTTTACCTGGAACACAATGCTCAATACACTCACCCATCTCTTCAATGCATCATCCTAATGAGCCTCAATATTTTTAAGAGGGATCTATTCCGCTAATGCAGTCAGAGTGTCTGCAGCAGAGTGAAAAGGGAACACCCAAGCTCCCAGCAGGCTCCCACTTCACAGCAAAGAATACAGCCAGCTCTGCATTCTGAACACTTTTTCACTGCCTTGTTAAAACTAAAGAGCAAAAATGAAGCCAAAGAAAGAAAAGATACTGGCTAGCACCCAGCCGGGCATTCTGATAAAGAGATGAAGCACTGTGCCCCCTGCCTCAGGTCAAGTTCCCAGGAAGAACTGCCTGTCGGCCTGTGGACCCAGGGCTGCCCTTCAGGGTAGAGGATCCTGATTTATCGTGGGCCTTCCACCACAGTGAGCGAGAGAGCCTGAGGCCCGGTCTGGCCTGGCGCATTTAACTTGTTCCATTGCACACAAGGGAGTTCTAGACAAAGTATGAACCAGGGGCTGCTATTAGTCACAGCAGGCCGACCAGGGATGGGGCTGGGAGGACAATTGCAATAGTGAGTGAAACAGCAAGTCAGGACCAGCCCTTACAGACAGCGCCATTAAAAACAGTCTTTGCTGAGGCGCCCATTTCCATTTCCTTCCTCTATATTACTGATGTTCTTTTGATTTCCCTACAATAGAATAAAAATCCAAAGAGGAAGGATGTCTATGGACATGAAAAGGAAGAAGTTCTCCATGGCCAATGGTTAAATTCAGGTTTTCTGGCTAGTTGTTCAAGTACGCAGATTGCCTTAGCAATAGAACCAGTTAAGGCAGTGGCTTCTCTGAAGTCACACAGCCTTGGTGCTGATATCACTGGCTCGGGGCATCTCTGACCATTGGCACAGGATGGCCCATCAGGTGACCCCTTTGTGCCACACCTGCAGAACCACATCTGGGAAGAGGTCACTCTGCACAACAGTAGCCTGCCGCCCCTGGCTATCAAGAGCCCAGAGTGGCTGGGCCTTCTGCACCAACTGGACCGAAGCACCGACATGTGGGTCCAACGCTGCTGCATTCTGAAAGATGGCTGCTTGTACTTCTACACTAGCATTCGCTCCACCCAGGCCTCAGGTATGGATGCAACTGTCACAGGAAATAATAGTAGCTACAGTAATAATAGCAATGACATCTTAGCTTTATGGAGCCTTTACCAAGTCTTATGCTCTGTGCTTTACCTAAATTAGTTCATTTATGCTCCAGAGAAAAGGCACTATTCTTATTATTCCCCTTTAACAGATAAGAAACCTGCCTGCAAAGTCTATGTCACTTGACATAGATCACATGTAGCAAACAATAAAACTGTTTTATTTACTCTGAACACAGTTGCGTAAACTCCAGAACTGGTCCTCTGAATCCCATACTTCTACTGCCTGGGAAAATGGAAAATAAACTCCTTTATTGTTTTGGTCGTTGATGACATTCAGAGTCAATGCTGATAGCTTCCTTGTGTAGTGGCTCCACCCTTTCCTCATAATATCTTTAATCTTCAATAAGTGAGTAACAAAAGAACGTTAATTGTCAATTTTCCCTGAGCAAGTTACTTAAATTCCTAAAACTAACTTTCTTCATTTATAAAATGGACACAGCTATCTATTTCACAGGACTATGATGAAGACCAAATGAGATAATCGCCAATAGAGTGACTTAAGCTCTACATATAAGGCTTTCTATGTAAAAAGCCCTATATACATATATATAAGTATATATAATATTTATTAATGTGTATATATTAAAAGCTATATGTACAAAATGAGTACATACACAATTTAATTTAATAATAAAATAATTGTGCCTGATTTCTGCAAGAAAGATTATTTAGCCTTCTTGTAATTTTTGATAAGAGATTATTGGTGTTTTATTTGCAGTTGGACTTTTTCCCAAATAAATAAATCCTTATATAACTAGCAATAGTGAACATTCTGCAATCTCAGACATTTAATTTCCTTTTATTAGCTTTAATGCTTAGGTTTAATTAGGCTAGATAGACATGCCAAATGGGAAGTGGGTATCTTGTGACAATTTTGACCTTCTTGGAAGGGTACAAAAGAAGTACAAAGCAAGCATCACACTACAGTCCGTTTCTCATCACTGGGTCAACAATCAACAATACAATGATTATCTTCCATTTAATCACACTTCCATTTTGAGAGGGTTACAACATGACCCAAAAAATGTCTTTCAACTATGAAACTAAGAGATAGAGAGATCGCTCTCTCTAAGCACTTACAAGACAGGTTGTTCCTATTCAACCCCAAATCCACAGCTTTAAGCACCTGATACCAGGATGGAAATGTATAAACAAAAGGTATAAACAAAACAAACCTCCAAAGCAGTCATTGATTGGGACTTTTATTATAAAAAGGGACTTTTATTGACTGGGACTTTTATTATAAAACATCATTACAAAAGTCTGAACCATTTTAATTACAAAATCAATGGAGCTCATTTTCAGGAGGCCGTTTCCATAGCTAGAAAAGAAATGGTTAGGATTGAATGTGCAGATTACTCCCAACTGAAACATTAAGAAAGGGCTTCCAAACCCCTGGGGCCAGAGACTGCTGCTCCAACAGCTTAAATAGTTGATAAGAGCCACTAGGTGGCTTCCCTTAACCTGAAAGGTGAGAGGAGGCCCTACTTAGCAAAGGCCTAGTTGTAGAGCTGCGAAACAGCTACTAATAAGTGACCTAAAAACAATATCAGCAAAAGCAGAGTTATCATTTAGTGAGTAAAGCTTTTGTACTGGTCATGCTAAGTGTTTTTACTTATCATTTCATTTAATTACTACAACAATTCTATAAGATAGGTTATTATCCCACCTACAAATTTGGAAATTGGTGTTTAGCAAGGTTAAATCATTTGCCCAAGTTCCCTTGGTAAGTACACGGTGAAGACAGCATTTGAACCCAGATAGCTGAGTTATACCAACAAAAAGAAAAAAAATAGACAAGTAGGGGAAGCTGGAAGGTTTGTTTATTATTCAGCTCTTATCATTTTGCACATCTGTTCAAAACCTCTGATGGTTTTTTGTTGCTTCGAGAGCACTGTAGGGCCTTATACTTTGTTCTGAAACCCTTCTTCTGGCTTTCTCTTCTACTCCTGGTGTTAAAGCATCCTGTATCCTACCCACACATGGCCACATGCTATTTGCTTAGCACGCCTCACTTCTTGGGCATGATTTATTTCTTGTAACAGTCACCTGAGATGCTGAGACAATACTGAGGACGACAAAGAGAAGGCAGGGAAAAAGTAACAGTGAAATGAGGGGAAAGAACAAAGCATGAGAAGCAACACGGCCCTGATTTTCTGTGAAAACCACATTAGATACTAATCCCACATTTTACTTTCAACCATGATAAATATGCCTCTATGTGCATTGTGGGAGTTGGAAAAATAGCCCCAGTCAATTCCCTGAAGCCTTTCCTTACTATCAGGGAAAGTGCTAGTACTTTAACAATATGTATGAATATTACTGGCTTGGCTATGCCGGCTCATGTTAAAAAGGCACTGTGTGAGTGCCCCAAAAGCCCTTTAGTCAAGTGCCTCTTCGTAGGCTTAAAGCCCATCATTCACCATATACTTGATTTTCTTTTCACTTTAATCTCTCTCCAGCAAAAGCTGGAAGTAACAAATTGTGACTTTTAACTATTGTTCTTGAATAAATCACATCAAGGTTTGTGAACACATCTCAAAAAGGTGTATTTTATATTACTGCAACAAGTGGAACACTAATGCTTGCATAGCTCTTGTGAGAAATCTCTCCAAAATAGTGCCAGCTTGCTGTTTACTGCTGCTACCTAGTAACCAAAAGAGCCCAGCCCAACAGGTCTCCTCAAATGAGGTAATGGGGTTATAATTGGATGTCTTCACTGCCAATCATTTCTCTCCTATAACTGGTTAGGAAACAGGTCAGAAAACCTTCCTGTTTATAGCAGACACATTTTGGACAATACCTTTTATCCATTCTCATAAAGAGTAGGGATAGGGGAGGGTATTCATATTTCTCATAGATGAGAAAAGGAAACCTCACAAACAGGAAGATGTCAAAAACCAGTGCAGCAACATATAAATGCTGTGTATTATAGTTTGGAGCAGAAAATTAAGACAGCAAAATAATCCTCTGATATGTCTAGGTATCCTACAGTCCTGAAACACCGAGCATATTACTTATTCCACTTCTAGTATATATACCCCCAAAACACGTATCTATGCAAAGACTTGTACACAAATCTTCACAACAGCATAATTCATAATAGACAGAAAAATTGAAGAAAACCCGATTGTCCGTCAACTAACAAGTGGATAAATAAAATGCAGTATATCCATACAATGGAATATCATTTGACAATAAAAAGGAATAAAGCACTGACACACAATACAACCTGGATGAACCTTAAAAATATCATGCTAAGTGAGAGAAGCCAGTCACAAAAGGCCACATATTGTATAATGAACTACACAACTCCATAAATGCACTAAAAATCATTGATAGTTCACTTTAAATGGTGGGTTTTATCATGTGTAAATTATGTCTCAATAACATTCATATATATACAAAAAAAGAAGCACACTCTGATTTTGGTAAACACACTTTACTGGGGCCTGTTTGAGACAAAAAAAATCTAACCATTTTTAAAATTAATGTTTTCCTAGAAGTTAGTTCTAAAATTGACTCTTCTGAAATAAAAATTTTAAAAGAATTTAATATTATATCTAAATGCCCCTATACAATAAACAAGTTTTTTCCCTAATTTTTTAAGTCCAAGAGCCACTCATTCTGTTTATAAAGAAAAATATATGACTTTCTGAGAATGAACTTCGGTACCAAGTTACCAAAAGGAAAACAAAAGTCAGCCATATTCAAAAAGACCAAATTTTCCCTTCACGGCTCCTTATTAATACATGGGCATGAAATAGTTATCATGTAGAGCAGCAAAAATCCAAGCTGTATTTTGTGTTTTTGTTAGTACAATGCACTAAAGTGGCTCTGATGTGGAGGTGCGGCATATGAACAAGAGTTAGCAAAGAGAGAGAGGTTTAACCGTCTAATCAGCGCTGCTAATGATGTTACCCTAAGTCTCTGCATGAGATTCAGGTTACCTCAGAACATCAAGACACCATAAAAAACACACAAGAGTTTTGATTTTTCAGCCCCTTCTCCTAGACTGATATCTTCCTCTCAATCCTTAAATAATAAAAACAAAGTTCAGGCCAAGCAATATATAAACACTAACATACATTCAAAGGACCATGGGAATAAAATACCAATCATTTATTCTCATTTTAATTCAAGTTGGCTCCCCTCAAATCACCCTGAGGGTTCATATGTTAAATGTGCTTTGCATATGCCCAAAGACAGTAAGAATCAATGTTGCTTGTAGAAACCGCTGGCATTTTTCACTATTCTTCAGGAAGGATGCCCTAATGGTTTTCTCAGCCAATATTATCAAATTTTCCTCTAATGTGATATTGCAGGTGTCACTCTTTGATACCGAAAAATGTACTTCAAAATGTGTCCCCCAGGTACAGAAGCTAGTTTAGGCCCACAGTAACCCAAAGCTAAATAATGAACATGTAGTGAGAAGATGGCAAAAATAAAAAGCAGGAAATCCAAACTTTATTACCAGTCTTGCCATTAATCATTAATGGATGACCTTAAAATCCTTACTCTTTTGGCGCTTCAGTTTCTTTATCTGTAAGATGGGACAGCTAGACTAGAGATTCCTTCAGAAGCAATTTTTTTTTCTTGACACCTTTTCAAACTCCTTTTCTCCACCTTAACTCTTTTCTCTGTTCTCCTCACCTGTTTTTTTCTTTCACCTTCTGTAGGTGGCCTATATCTGCAAGGATATAGGGTGAATGAGCAGACCCTTAGCTTCAAGCAGTCAGTAATTGAACTCAAACCTCCATCTGAAGAGTTCAAGTCTTTCTATTTCTGTGCAGAAAATAAAAGAGAAAACGAACGGTAAGTCAAGGTCTGCCTATTTCTTCATCAGTCCTGACGAGAGACTTCTTAGCAAAGCACTATTTTTATTTTCTAACATTAACTCCACATCTTCAATTAAACTTCTCCCTTTCGTTGCATAGTTTCTTAGTTAATATTCCCCATTTTTTTTCTTTCAAAGCATACAAGAGGACTCTTCTAGAAGTATTTTTCAAATGGAAAAGGAGTTCACAATTTTTCCCAAGGCTGACTCAGGCTTCAACATAAAGAAAAATAAAAAAATTAAAAAAATCTACTAACACCATAACCTATAATGTTATAATTTATTAATTCACAGATTTACTGTTTCATCTCTTTTCACATAAATGTCTATCTGAATTTGGTTAGTCGTTTTTGTTTGTCATAAGCCATTGAAAGGCTTAGGACTTATCCATCTAATTCAGTATGTTCAGGATCCAACTTGGCATGTACAAAAGGGCACTTGCTTCATAATGATTCTGGAGGAAAAATATCAGTAAAGTTTACAAAGATGAAATCATGGGGCAGACGAAGTGCTGTCTGGTACCTACTAGTATCTCCTACATCTCTCAAGTCCCCCTGTTCTAACTCCAGTCCTCAAGACAGCCAGTGCCCTCCAACTGCTTGGTGACCATCCCTCACCTCATATGGATACCTTCTCCCAACTGTCTACGTAAAAAGGATCTAATAAAAAAATTTACAGAAATTTATTAAAACAGAGGATATGGTAAAATTTCCAGCGACATTTGCAAGAACTAGATACACTGTTTTAACCCAAAGAAATAAAATTCCAAAAGTAGAATTTCAGAATCTTCGGCAAGTAACCATTTGGGGAAAGGAAAAGGAATCTGTCTAGGCCTTTTCCCATTACGTAAGCCTTGCCTGTTCCACTCACGACTAAGGATGAGCTAGAATGAAAGGATAATGAATACAGAATTGTTAGATATTGTGCCAAGATCTTCTTCCTTGGGCTTGTGCTATATAATCTGGGCAGCAGATTAAGACTGTTCCCTTGAAGGTGAAGCTCCAACTGGCATCTTAGAAAAGGGGTCAGTGAAATAATAGCGTTCACGCCTATCTGATAAAATCCACTGGATTCTCTAAGAGAGGAGGATAGTTGGATCAGTGGGACTCACTGCCAAAGCCATGAGTGAGTATTATTAATAGGAAACAATATTGAGTCATTAAAGAAATATTTCAAAACATTAGAGCAAGAGTTTCACACAGGTGGTTCAGGGAACCCTGGTTTCACAAGATACCCCCCTCACAAAAAATAGTTAAGCAAGTTTAGGAAATGATACAAATCATATTTCCCTCTCAGAGTATCACAAAGAACATTAACTTATTAATGTTTCTGAGATACCATGATGGAAAAAATCCTGGGGTTGGGGGGGGAATCCTGGTTAACTCTCCATAACTCCCGTTATCTAAGTTTATCTGACCCAGACCATTTAAAAAAACAATAATAACACCTATGAACCACCATTAGAATAAATCATATATGGGCACATTTCAAAAAACATCATCCAAGAAAATGAAAGGAAAAAAGAGGAGAAGAAAATAGAGTTAACTGGTGAGTTCACTATGGTTTCCAGAATTTAACAGAGAAATATTTTGCCCTATGGCAATATTTGATTACTATATGTTCAATCAACTAAACTTTAAATTTAAATAGAAACAGTAAAACATTGTTAATATTTTTTAAAATGCTTTAGCTTCGTTATTCACTATTTACAAACACCCTCTTCTGATCCTCTTATTTACATTAACATAGTTTTACTTCATAGCAATAATTGCATACTTCTCATTTGGTGGTTTACCTTTTTGTTCAATCCAAACCCTAAGGAGTATTGTTTACCTTATTAATTTAAAACTAAATAACCAAGAGAAATAATTAGAAAATAAATTAAAAGATTTTGTAACATTTCACCTCCCTAGAGTTCAACAATTTTTTAATGATGTGTCCTGCACTGTTATTTCTGCAGCTGGATTACAGCTCTGAAAATGTCTATCAAAAAATGGCTTCCTTTGCATCAAGCTATTCAAGACTTCATGAATTGACCTCTAGAGGAGACCAGAATGTAAAAGATACCCTAATCTTAAGAGAAAGGGTCCACAAAATCATCATCAGCTACTTGTAGGAAGAGACTAAAGCATTTATCATTATATACTCGTAGCTTTTCAAATGGATGTTTCTTTAATATATTAAAACTTTGTGATAAGACTATAATTTTGTTTTTGAAACAAAACACCAAAATCAAATGTGACATTCAGATAATATAACTTATATCATCATCATTAATACTCCCCCCAAGTTTTCCCCCCTTAGGCTGCACATGTAAGCATCAAAATATAGTATGCCTCATACCCCTATCTTTTGAAAGCATAAAAGTAATAAAAGTTGATTTATTGTATTTTCTCTTTTTTGTTCCTTGCTAAATGTTTCACTCTATGCTTCAGTTATAAGCTTCTTAAAATGCCTACAGGCCATGATGTGAGAAGGTGATATTTGGGAAAATTAAGATCATGGAAATGAAATAGCTTCAATGATGACTAAATAATTCAGCTAAACAACGTCCTGTCTGTTAGGTTATATTACAGTCAACTGGCCCAAGTGCCTCCCAGAACTTCCCAGATGAAAGAAAATAATAAGAAATATTATTATAAAAATAAAACAGGAAAGAATTAGACTAAATTTAGGGGAGAAAATTTGAAGACATGGGTTTTATTATTACCTGAATATCTATAATACTGCAAGGGGAAAACACAAAATAAATCAAGAATTTCCTGCTCTTGATCTTGAAAGTAAAATTGAAAGAAATTGGAAAGTGAATTCTAAGCATTGGGTTCATTTCTCAATAGAACAACCCCTGTGTGTATTCAGGATGTTGTGTTGCATTTGGAAGTCCCATGCCCTTACTAATGGAACATGGAAAACTGATTTCAGGAAGGTCAATTGTCAAATTCAAGCGCTCTAGAGGAGCTCACAATGGAAAGTAAAAAATGAAATCTTCTCTTTCTCTAAAATAATAGTATTTCAGAGCTCACAAGGACCCTACAGCTAAACCCCTTTTCTTCATGGCTGAGGCTCAGGGAGGTAGTTGCCTGTTGAAGATGTTAGTGGCAGAACTAAAACTGAACCCACGTCTTCATCCCTCCACCCACTGTTGTTTCCATTCATCCTACGCTCCTCATTGTGCTCAAGGATGTGATGTTTTTTTCACAGAGTTAATGCAACCACCCACTCCCCAAAGTTCTCAAATACTTCTAGTCTTTGGCTGAGAACTGAAACACATCAATTCCAACAAAAAAAAACACCCATGTTTATAATTCCACAATGGAAGGACTTCATGTTAATTCAAATTATATACTTCCCCAGAGAATCCTAAGTGTGAAGAAGACATCAAAATGTGTGTCATGTTTCCTATTCTCTTCACCTCCACGCTCCCTAAAGACTGTGAACTCTTCAAATAGATGGCTACAGTTTGCAGATGTCCTTCACAACAACTCGGAAAAAGGAGGCTTGTGAGCATGTGCTACTTAGTTTCCGTATTCAAAGAAGCCGCCTAAATGAACTCATGCCCAAATGACACGCTGTAATACTGTGACCAACTTAATACCATAATCAACACTATCCAATTAACAATAACAGATAGCCGTCTGTGCTGAGAATGGTCCCTTTGTTCTCCCAGGATTTACCATGATCATAATGAGGTCTTTCAGCAGGGGCATCATCAGTAATGTTCCTGTCAGAGACCTAGGGCTCCTACCTCTGCTCTCCAGCAGAGCACTCTGCCTTTCTGGAGCCCTGCCATGGAATGCACCAACTGTGCAGCCAGCTGGTGCCCCCAGCCAACAGGAACACTGGCACAGAGCTTTCTCCTGCAGGAGAAAAACAAAAGCAACCCCCTCAGCAAAAGGTGAACACAATTTTCCCTGAATTAAGCACTCATATAACTTGCATGCAAGTGAAAGGTATCAACATTCAAAGTTCAGAGTCTCTCCTCAAAAACGAGTGTTGTTAGTCCTGGAACATTCTAGAGCTCTAAACAATCCTGGGTAGTATGCAAATACGTTTGTGTGGACGTTTTTATGGGTAAAGGATTCTAAGCTTTTAGGTGGTTTTCAAGGGCTATGTGGCCCCAAAAGAACTTCTTAGTTCTAAGATGAAGAGCATTTCCCTGGGTCCACAAGGTTCCATCTCCAGTAAACACAATAGGGAGACAAAATGCAAGGCCAGCCTTTGACATTTGCACCATCTGCCTGCACATTTTATGGTCAGCCCACCTTTTGGCAAATCAAGGAGAGCTCCCCATAAGCCCAATGGTCAGTTAGTCAGTAATTGTTCATTGAGCACCTACTATGGGCCAAGAACTGGCTGTCATAGCCTCCCACCATGAAGGAGAGGCAGAAAAAAATTGTTCAAAGCATGCACTCTGCAGCCAGAAGACCCAAATTCAAACTCTAGCTCTATCACATCCTGCCTGTGACCTGGGGCAGGTTACTTTATCCCTCCCTGCTTTAGTTTCCTCATCTATAAATGGGACTATTATAGTATTTGTCACATGTGTTTATGAAAATTAAATGGTGTGTGTAAAGCACTGGAACAGTAATCAGCCCCAGTGAACTCTCAATACGATTATCAATGTCATTAAGAAGGACTGTCAGCTGGTTGTATGTGGACCTCACATCTCTGTGGACAGCTTTGGAAGGAATACATCTCATCTCCTTCACCTCACTCCCTGCAGGTGGAGAGGATGGAGGAGCGTTCCATCAGGGTTTCCATCTCAAGTGGACTTAATGAAGAAGGCCAAGGAGAGTTTCAGGCTTTCTGGGTCATATGCAGCGTAACATTGCCTATTTGGAACCCCAAAGACTGGCCAACAGTTGTGAAAACTCTGCTCGCCCAACTTCTTGATGAACTTGGAAGATTTTTCATCATCATTCCTAGAAGCCCTAAACTAAGCTGCAGTTGTTCTCAGAGTGTCCCTGTAGGGCCTAAGCAGTGCTGGGTTAACGCCAATCTTTGTTCTGCCTCATCTGTTGATTTAATGTGCACACTGTAGGGAAAACCCCTGGACTGTTCCATACTTGGGAATTACATTTAGTGAAGACAAATTAATAAAGATCAAAGAACACAGTAATTTGTTCCCATAAAAGAGGAACACTAGAAGCAATCTGTCTACTTCCTTATTTGCCTCCCCCACTCAGCCTGAGAAGATGATTTCAATAATCCGTTGCCTCCAAATCACCTCTCCAGCTTCTCCCTGGGTTTCGAACAATTTCGCTCACCCTTCAAATTGAGAAAAAACACTTTCTCAGTAGAGGTTTGGCTAACACAGCAGAACTCTGTTTTCTACTCTAGTCCACCCAACAACTGTGTAAAGCCCATTTCAAGGACATGTCCATAGCAGGACATAAAAGCTAATGAAACTATAAAGCATGTTTTTTAAAAGTAACCACTCTTACTAACAATACCTTACATCATATATATATATATATATATATACATATATATATATGTTTATTTATATACCCAAGGTATCTTCTCTCTCTCTGCTCTACTGCTTGCTGTCCATCTGTTTCATTCTTGTTTCTCTCTGCAAGGTGACTTTATTTGATGTAGAGAATGAATGTATGAATTGTGAGTCAAAATCCCAGTGACAGTCATAGCCTCTTATCAGCATCCTCACATGAAGCCTGCCTAACCTGCATATTTATGATGTCTATGGCCAGATGGGGTAGAATAGCCTTGGTAGCAATGTCTAGAGTCAACACATTAGGGCAAGCTACTCTCCATATTACCAATAACAGCAAGGGCCTACACAGCAACACTTATGGGAAAATCAAACTCAAAAATGGACCTTCCCCCTTACCAATGATGAGATAGAGGAGCCTTCCTAGTTCAAAGGCACTTGCTCCCACATAGAGGTAAATGCTGTCCCTCCACTCTTTCCAAATGCTTGAAGTTGTGTCTCTTACCTTTAACGATGGGACCCAGAATGACATCCAGGCAGTTGCTAGTCGAGTCGAGCTCTTATCATTTGCCATCAAAGAGTCTTGAGTGGTTAGGATTACCACATAATTTAGCTTCCAAATCAGCACATTTTGAGAGAAGACACTATTAATAATTATACTGAGACAACAGATATATGCAGGCAATGTCTCAGGCAAAGTGAGACATGTCATCCTATGAATAATGTACAAACTGGTGCTCTCTGCTTCCTTATCCACACAGAGGAACATGATTTTAGCTGACAGCTTCAAGTTCCCTATGAGGGAATAATTTCTCTCTTTCAATATCAATTCCAACAAATTGAAAGAGACTAATTACTCATGACCAAATAGGTGGGTTCACATTATAAGAAAATAGATGCTGGGAGAATTGCAACCCTAACTCTGTTTTTGTTCGTAGTGGAGTAGAACGAAGAAGGGTTGGATTTCCAGAAAAATGGAGTCTTTGGAAAGCCAGTGGCTGGGATTTTATCCTACTTAAATAAGTTTAATGATGTGAAGGAGACATAGACATCAAAAAATTTCCATCAAAATGACTATACAACTTAATGAGCTAGCCTGCCACAGCTCTATGGATACTTGCAGAAGACATGAGATTCCTATGCTGAGACAAAGGACTTTATTACTCACTGCTCACCACTGTTTTGTAGCTCATGGCACTGGTTCCAGCTTTGTCATCAACTAGCTTGTATTGCCTCCAAAAAAATCATTTGGCTTTTCAGATATTTAGTCTCCTCATCTTTATTTTTTGCTATGCAGACCCAGCACAAAAATAGATTTCAAAACTAATTTAGTTAAGCAACAGTTCTTGAGAAATGATTGCTTCTCCTGAGCTTATGAGATGATAGTGGAATCAATTACCCCATACTTTAAAAAGGTTTCTATGTTATACAGTAAATTACATTTTTTTGGTAATTTTGTAGTTTGAGGTTTTTAGGAAAGTATAGTAGTTTTTAATTAAAATTATAAATATAAAACAAAGGACCCCTTTTAGTGGACATTTTTCAAATAACACTGGATTCAGACTTGACCTTTTATAGAGCTCCACTACTGTGTTGATTTAGCAGCAAAGCAATGAAGTGTTATGCTGTAAATGTGAGTTTCAAACAGGAACTCTCTTGGGTGAATGCCACTGAACTACACCAAATCCCCCTCTCAGACAACTGTCCAACTTATACATATTTGTCCTTTATGCTTCATCAGTTTCTCAACCTGTAGATATAAATAAAATATTTTGCTCAGTGAATCTGTTCAATTGTAATCACTGTAATTATTACTTTATTCTTAAAAGATCCATGCTGTATTTTTCTATGCCGGAAGACAAACTAAAATTTGGTTTTGGGGGTTTTACTCTGTTTCACTCTATTTTACCCTTGCAGCAAAATAAGGTAAAATGATCCAATAGTTTTGCTCTACATTCATATGGACTTTCTGTTCTACCTTCTCTTGCCTTCCTCTGGAGTGTTAATTTCATGTGAAATCTGACACTAATTGGAACAATAGACTTATATATACCCTTGTTTTCTCAGCATTATTATATTTACTGTGAATTAGTTAATTATAGATTTCCACGAAAATATACTGATGATGATATTTTCAAGTTTTCTTTTCCTTTCTTCTCATGTGAGCATCTTCCTGATCTTTTGAGAGGATTATGTGTGTGTGTGTGTGTGGGGGGGTGTATGTGTATACCATCTTTTCCATCTTTTTAAAAACATCTTTATTAGGAATTCCTAACCCTGAAGTATACAGACATTTATTTATTCCCTGACAGGGTTTTAATTGAACAAAATGTTCCTTGAAATGCCACAATAATGGAGTTTCCCTTCCACTAGAGTCCTGAAAAGAGAAGTATCATTAAAATTGTAGGTTCCTCTTTTCTCCTATAGTATCAGTTTTTCTGTTCATAACCATGGTGTTTTAACTTCAGTAATTACTAATACCTGGTTTCAAATGCAGTAGCAGCTTAGAAGCATGTACATATCAGTTCAGCTAAAGAGGTTAACAGGTGCTAATCAGTGTATTCATTTCTAGAAAGGTAAAATTTTCAAATTTTTACTGAGAATGAACAAACATACTATGTCACACAAAAGCACTGTGCTATCACATCCTGCTGCAGAGTTGAAATGCTTAAGAAATCAAGTAAAATAAATGTGGCCACCTGACAAACCTACATGATTTTTTTTTCCTCCTGAACATTGATAAAAGCAGCAATAGGCCTTCATCCAACTGATATTCAATTTGCCAGGCAAAAATTACAACCATTGCATCCACATATTTAGTCAAAAGATAAAATTAGTTTTTAAAATGTATCTAAACTTTTAGCTTCTGTGATCATTCATTCATTCATTCTTGATATGTGGCAGGTCCCTGGAAAACAACTGCCAGGTACACAAAGCTGCTGTCCTCGCTGTGGAGCTGACCTCCTAGTTGAGGAGTCTAGCAGTAAACCAGCGATATGAGAAATTGATGAATTAGGTAAGTACCAAAGGTGATGGGCACAAGGAAGAAAATAACCAGCTTAGTCTGAGACAGAATAAAAATGATTATGTTAGGATGGGCAAAAAAGGTGTCTCTATTAAACTGAGACCCCCAAAGATGAGAAGAAGCCCCTTTGGGAATAGCTAGATTTCTGTCAGAGCAAGGAAAACAGGTGAACAATCAGAAAAGAGGTTGCAGATGCAAAAGAGTGTGCTTGTCATGGAGCAGGAACTCTGAGGGCACAAGGGGCCAAGGGAGATTGAGGCAGATTAGCAAACATTACTGAGCCCCTCAGAGAGACTAGGTAATAATGAATACCTGGAGGGCTGGGACTTCATACCATCACTGAGGTGAACTGCAAAGGGAAAGGAATTATGATTGAAATAATTATAATAAATTCTTGGTTAAAAGTAAGCACTGTTGTAGCATTGAGGTCTCAAATATTTTGCTGGGCAGGGTGACATCCTATACCAACGGACTAGCTATTAAAGTAACCCTGCTGAAATTCATGATTACATAAGTTCATTATTATGTTCAGTGAGAGTAGAGCTGGGTTCTGATTCCCTACCGCTCCTGGAATTTTACCCCTGATAAATACACTGTCATGGAATAGTTTTAGGATAACGAAGTGTTGTGTGCTAAATAATTTTTCTTTATGTTGCAACTACGGGGGGGGTGCTAAAAAATGTATACAAGTGGACAATTTGGTCAACGTTGCTCAAACAATAGTTCACTGTAATCAGAAGTGCCTGGATACTGATGGCAACCACTGTGAGCACCTCTTGTAATTGCAGAAGTCAAACATGACTTGTATTCATCTTTTGTTATCAGTATATATTATGAAAATTTTAATAGTTTTTCCTTTCTTAAAATGTGTATACATTCTTTTTGGTAACCTCTATATTTGGCTGAGTTGGCTATTTGCAATGCTAATAGATCTTTTAATAGGTTCAATATCTTCATGATTGAGTTAGCTTTGTTCTCTTCCAATGCCTTAAGCTGCACTCTCAAAGCTGTCAGTTTACAAGAAAAACCATCTTTTTTGTGGTTTTTAAAAAGTATCTGCCACTGTAAAAATAATTCAAAGCACAAGTCCTAAAATCATAGGTCAATTCAGTACACTCTTTTGTCATATGATAAAATACTTTCTTTGTACTGAAGCACAACTATAAACAGGTAAGTGACTTGCTGAGATCATAAAGAAAAACTATGAAAAAAAAAAAAGAAGACAGAGAGATAGGAAGAGAAGTGAAAAGCCAGCCCTGACAGTAAAGAGTAAGGAGGCTCCAATTATCCAAAAGGTAAACCCTACCAAATGGATCACTAACATGATCCAGAAAGAACTGCCTGGCAATTTACAGGTGAATGTGTTGGAATAGGAGGAGAAAAGCTCAAGGTAACAAATCCATTGGAAGTTTCCATCCACCTTAATAAAAAGAGCGGGATTTTTAAAACAATTAAATTTATTGGGGTGACAATGATTAGTAAAATTACATAGGTTTCGAGTGGACATTTCTATAATACATCATCTATATATCACATCGTGTGCTCACCACCCAGAGTCAGTTCTCTTTTCATCACAATATATTTGACCCCCTTTACCCTCTTTTTAATCCTCATTTTTAAGATAAAGAAACTGAAGTCTGTTGGAAGTTGAAAAATCTAGTTGTCTGGAGGTTACCTGAGAGTAATGGAATTAGAAACAACAGCTCTTATATAACATAGTAGTAGTAGTTTGAGAGGCAGAAATTTACTTAGAAAACCCAATGGCATAGCAAGAAACTCCAGTAAAATGTAAAAAGGTAGAAAGAAGAGAAAAGGTGGTGACCTCCAGAGAAATGCATTAGGTTCCCTTTTATTCTCTCCTAAAGAACTGAAGTCAGTTCTTTGACATAAACCCATAGACTGAACTTTGGCAAACTGTGAGCTCGGCCATAAGATCATGAGTTCCTAAAGTGTCTAGAGGAAAAGATGAATCCCCAAAGGCATGATGACTTTGGTCACCTGAAGCAGGAGTTATGCTATGGGAATGGCTGTGTGACTTCATATAACACGGTATCCAAACGTTAATTTTCCCCCAAATCCAAAGGCTACTGACCGTTGCATTAAGAGCTTTCCATAATGACACCAAGAAGTGAGAGTGAGAAAACACTGAATTTTGGGTAGAATTGATTCAACTGGCTCCAATGACAAGCTTGTTGTACTTGCATGGGACATGACTGACAGGAGACATTATAAGTTCAGGCAGCACAGCTAGAAAATGTGATAAGGAGTAAATGTCTAGTTCTAGAAAACATTGACCTTTGGCTCAAAGGAGGAGCAAAAGATCACAAATTACTGCTTTGGCTAGGAAGAAATGTCAAATTTCAGCCCACTGCATCAAGGATCTAAAAGTTCATCATTTCACTACTACAAGAGTAATGGGAAAAAAGTACTTTCTTTGTTATAGTTTCCATGTCAAAATCCAGTCCAACTAAGGATGTCCATGAAAGAAGTAAGGTCCTCAGGTGGTTGGTGCTAAGGAGTCTAGGCTACACCATATCAGTCACAGAGTTATCCTTAGCTAGGACATTTCAGCCATACCTGGTTAAAGAGGTTGAAAATACTTAGGGCAGAGCAGAAAGCATGGTGGTGCCAACCAGCTTCCTGCTATGTGTCGACATCACTGAAAGAAATTATGTTAACAGACTCATTCCCCTTCCATGGACCTCTGAGCTGTAGTGATACAAAACAATGGGTACCTAAAGATATAAGACCATCACATTCTAAACCAAAGTAAGCAGCTTTCTAATTACAGCAGCACAGTCCAATAGGTAGCTTCTAGCCACATGTGGCTATTGGCCACTTGAAATGTGGCTACTGATGTGTTGTGAGTGTAAAATATACACTAGATTTAGGAGACTTAGTACCAAAAAATGTAAACTATTTCACTGATAATTCCTTATATTTGCTACATGTTAAAATAATAATGTATTGAAGACATTAGGCACACAGCCACGTAAACCAAGCCCAGCAGTGGGCTTCCTGCTGTGGCACAGTGAGGGTTAGCTTGCTCTCCATCTATTAATATTCCAATGCCCTTCTTGTATTCCTTCCTGAGCCCTGACACGCAGTTCCTCTGGAACAGTGAGAAAATTAATTTCTGTTATTTCAAGCCACCAAGTTTTTGGTAATTTGTTATAGCAGTCATAGGAAATTAACCCAATATCTAGCCCAAATGGAAACCTTCCTCACCCAGCTCAAACCCTGATACCCCATACTAGGCCAGCACCCTCCTCATCCTGTTGGACTCCCACATCCTTTGGGGGAAAGCACCCCTGGAGAATGACCTTTCCATCCTGCTCAGACTCAGAGACCTCATGCCAGGCCACACTCTGTACAGATGCGCTCCTCACCCCTCCCAGGTTCCCACTCCACGTGCCCCACACCAGCCTACCTTTCTGTGCAGATGTGATCTATTTCATGGCACTGCTCTGCAGCTTTCTTTGCCTCACTTCCCTTTTCCCTTACCTTCACCTACCTGGGCTTATACTGCCCAAATAAAGTATGAAAACATTAATCTTTGAGTTAATGTGTTTTTAGAGGATCCAGGCTAAAACAGAATATTATTAATACAGATACATATATATATTAATGCACTCAAAGAAGTGGCTGCCTCGAGGAGTGGGCCTACAGTATACAGAAAGTTAGACATAAGATTATTAATTTCCTTTATAAGTCTTCTGATAGTACTGATTTTAAAAACTATTACCGTGTATTACTTTTGTAAAATAAAAATTTATTTAAAAGAAAATAGACAATGACTACCATTACATGCATTTAAAATTGCTCACATTACCTTCATAAGTTTTTCCGTAGGTCAGAGAAACAGCGAACACTAACAATTATTTTAGTAGTATTATAATAATGTTGTGACTTAAACCTCTGCATTCATACACATTTTATAGATTTTTCTAAAAAAAAAAAAAACAACCTTTTATGGAAAGTGAAGGAAGATGTCACCTGAAGATCAATACCTCCTTGTATCCTGCTTAAAGTGCTATGTTCTTGAAATGGCAGCAAGTGCTTTATGGCAGCATAGCAATAAGTCAATCTATAGACTCATCTTAATGAATTATAGAGCAAAGAGAAGCAGCTAAAAAAAGAAACCATTTTATTTCTACATTGACTGCCTTTTGAAAAATGGAACTGAGGGTTGAATTAATGATTTAATTAAACCACTTAATGTTTTATTAAAGTCAGTATGGTCTAGAGTTCCTGTGCAACCATCAGCTTATCAATAAAATCTCATATTTGATTTTGCCAAAGAATTCATATTTATTATTTGATGTGCCTGTATTATAACAGAGCCTCTAATTGTTTTCAGGAAATCATATGTACCCTTCTATTCCAAAACCTTTCCATTAGGGGATCACAAAATTCAACTGAAAAAAAAAAATCAGGTCAGGCTCTGCAGGCATGATTTATTCAGCTCCGTTACTACTGGCCACAAGGAGCTCTAGTTCTGCTCTATTCAGCAGAATGTCTGCTCGACTTTTACAGCAAAGGAGGGACTCAAGGTCGCCAGTGCAAACCCCACGGAAGGTGGATGTATTCAGCAGGAAGCACTGAGGCACCGAAGGTAATTTTCTCAATAGAACCTGTTAGTTCCTCCCCTTTCTTTCAGAGAATGTCTTTTCTCATCCAAACTTGCCCATTTCTCTATCCAACATAAATTACTGTAAGTAAATGGCCAGTTAAGGGAAGAGGAAAGTGGATAAGGAGAGGCCTCCGAGATAATTCACAAATGTGAGCCTGTCTACTTTCATTTGAAGCACTGAGATTAGATGGGAACAGCTCTGGCAGAGAGAGGAAAAGCATAGAAACGCAAATCCAAAGAAGAAAAAGTGATCCAACACATATGCATTCCCATCCCCTTATGGGACTATATATATATATATATATATATATATATATATATACCTTCACTTATAAGACCTCAGACTGTTAGACCAATAAGCAGAGGCCATGTCTTCGCGCCCACACAAACTCTATTAATATTTTTGCTTTGGTCTATAGCTTGCTAGAGGGGAACTGTTCAGACAAAAGCTGACTTTTAACCAGAATGGAGTATCTGTCCCTGTAATGCTGACATCTATGTTCTCAGATCAAAGCCTCTGTGGGAGGGTCATGTTCCCACACTCTCTTCTCTAGACCCTCATTTAACAGAAAATACAGACACACAGACAGAAGAATGTTTCGATCACATTTCTGACACAGATGCTTCAGGTCGACCTGATGTTACACTCATTTTCTCTACACTTTAGCCTAATTGATTTTTATGACACTTATTTGGCACAAATTAAAATTTTCTAATTCACAGGTTTCACATTACTTTTTTTAAAAGATATTGACCAAGTGGCTTGACTGACTTTTTACATAATTGACTTGCTCTGATATATACCGGTGGTGCCAAAAAAAAAAAAACATTTTAAGAGATGTTATCTGTGTATTACTTTTTAAGTTGAATTGAATTACAGTAGCAATGCATAGTATGACGTTAGCTCAAAAGATGGTGTCAATCAAATGAATGCTAGCGTCATTCATTGTATTACAATTTTAACACAGCTTTTTCCTTTCTTAAAATATGTACACATTTCTTGGCACCCTCTGTAAATACTTTTGACTGTCTCACATTATTCTCTTTGCTTATACTCTCCTACCCCATTTGTCCCTGAGATGTTTTTTCTCACCTTCAAACCTCAACCTCAAGTGTTTCCATGTCCTTATTCTTGCCCTGATTTATATATGTATGTATNTATATATATATATATATATATATATATATGTTCTTTTTTCCCTAAGCCACAGAAAAAAATTATACCTACATTCTTACCATCCATCTCCTGAATTAATAACTTCTAATATTGAGTTAGTTGCTCCAATAGTTTTTTCTGTGTGGATAATTTTAAATAAAACTGCACAAGCAATTTATGCTTGCATTGTCTTAAGAAAGGGAGGAAGTGGGGAGGGAGGAAGGGAGGGAAAAAAAGCGAAGGACTAAAATTCTCTTTGACAACCTCATTTCTCCTCTCTCCTCTTTATTCTCTGCCCCACAGGCAACTCCCCCACACTAGGCAACTAGTAGCACAATATACATAATTTTTTCAAATTTTTCATACTTACATACGTATCCAGAAATAACACACTATACATATCCTTCTGCCACTTGCTTTTTTACTCAACATTAAGTTTCGGAGCTCTATTCCTGATGATTTATACAAATCTAGGACGCTGTCATTCATATCTTCATCAAAAGTTCCCTCACTGCTTGCTAAGAAAGTAGCACTCTTTGCTAAGTACATTCGTAGGGACACGCTCACCCCCTCTATGCACATGAATACCCTCATAAATATATTCACCATCACCGAAAAATGGAGGTTACTTTGGCAAATTCATAGAAGGACAACTTTATAATAAAGTCCTGATTTAAAACAATAATAAAAAGCTTTCCTTTGGAAAGTTTAAATAATTTTATACTTGAAAAAAAGCATTTCTCCAGTTGGCTAAATTCAGGCACTACAAAAGTTCAATCTAAGAATACTCCTTGGCTTTGAATCCGATGTTGCCTTTTCTTGTGGTTGGAAATCACATTCATTTCTTTCCCAAAAGCTCTTGCCAATGTACACGTTCTTCTAAAAGAGTTTAATAAATGTCAATAGGCAAGCCAGCTCCCTTAATATTTCCTTCACTCGGATGATCTATTTTGGTTGAAGTTTTGCATATAGAGATGCACTCACTCTTCTTGACACATTTCCAGAAAATATGCAAATAAGGCTCATATTCTTCTAAAGCCTTTTGCTCCACTGATGTTCATTATGTAACATTCCTTGTCCCCACTGCTTTGAAACCTCACTATTCTTTATTTTGATGCTCTCGGAAAAGGGAAAATGTTTTTAAGCACTTCTCTCGTCTTACTAGTGATTGCTTTAGGAACTGCTTTCAGATAGGATCTACCAAGTTGTCCATTTACTTTGCTTCTTTAAGCTCTCCTTTGAGACCCCTTAACCTTTAGAATCTTGATGAAAGCGCCCAGGAAAGGCACACACACGCAGAGTGACTACGACAGAAGGATGGTGTATCTCTTGATACCAACCTGGACCCCAGGTGCAGGTTCAGTCCCTGGATGATACCCACCCTTTACCAAACAACACTTCCCCTTCTGCTGCTGTTTCTGGAACTTCTGACCTGACCTAGCCTGCTATGCCCCTTCTCCTTTCCTCCCGCTTTCCCAAACTCTTGCAGTCTCAGTCACAAAACAAGCTATCTCTGCCCATAAATGCAGGCAAGGTTGTTTGGTGGTATCACTTTAGGAACCATAAAACCTATCCTGTACACCCTAATAGAAAGTAATGCTGCTTCCAGCTATTGGTGGGATAAAAAATGCCATTTGCTGATGAAAAAAGAAGCACAGTGAATGAAAACAGAGTCACTACACCAAATATTGAAAAGTACACTATTTCTGTATATTTTGACACACTGGTTTATCCATTTCCCTCAAAATATTTCCTGCCCTTTTCCTATCAGTTTTCCAGTTCTCCATTTCAAAATACTTCTCTCTATCCTTTCTACAACAGGAACTTGAGTGACCTGTAGATTAAGGCCTACAGGTGTTAAAAGAAGAATTGCCGTTCAAGCAAACTGCCAAAAACCAACTCACTCTAGATACTCTGGAAAATTCAGTACTGAAAACAAAGAAAGATGACCTTTCTGTTTTGGATATCACTAGCTGTATGTATTTTTTCCAGTTCTGCCAGGAATTCATTGGCAAAAGCAAGTTGACAACTGAGGTAATACCTGGAAAGACTCACCTTAAACCCTTCCATGACTCATCTTTTTTTCTACCATCTGTAAATAAGAATAAAAATATACCACTTCTTAATTATTTCTATGTATGTTATTCACTGGCAAAATTGATATTTAAGCTGATTTCCCTTCAACATGCTTCTGAAGGGAAATCACCAGTCACCAACTGACTTGTACTGAGACAATACAAATGTATTTTATTAATAATATCAACCTAACTATTACAAAACATGCTGTGGAAAATACATATGTTGCCTAGAATTATAAGTTGTATTCTTAAGTCAAAGGTACGTAATTTAGGACTTAGAAATTTATTTTGGATGATCTGCACTCATGTTACTGTCTATGTGATAATTAGATAATTATTTGATAAGTAGCTATAATATCTGATAAAAGGTAATGGGTAACTTATTGCTCGTCCCGCCGAGTTTCTAGACTAACTGTTTTTAGTGTCAAAAATAAAAACCGATGTATGTAAGTAGAGTCCTGTTCCATGTAATCCTACCTCTGTGTGAGAAAAGTTGTGGTAAATGTTTGATGGTCTAGATTATGCAGCTTCACACTTAGGGTGAGACTACAGAACCCAACTTGTTCAACGCCACACTCGCTACCTTTCAAGCACAGTATCTCACCTCACATAGCCCACCATGCTCTCTCACCACATCCCTCCTCATAAATCTGCCAGCGAATCTGGTCAGGTATCCCTAAACCCTTTAACTGAAGTCTACATCTTTCTGATTCCTGTTGTCATTGCCCTCATCCAGACCCTTATGGTTTCATGTTCTATTGGGTCATCTTCCTCCCTCACTGTTTCCCTAGCCGTATCCATTCCCTACCTGGCTCCCGAGAGGTCTCCCTAAAATGCCACTTTTATCTTGTCAGGACCTTCGCCTGACACCACTGCTCCTAGCAGTGGTAGGCAGCATAATGTTTCCCAAAGTTGTTCGTGCCAGATATCTGTGATATGTCATGTTATATAACATAAGAGATTTTGCATATACGTAAATGTGTAATTAAGGGTGCAGATCTTAAAATGGGGATATTATCCTGGTAGGCGCTGTCTAATCACATGAGCTCTTAAAAACCGAGAGCGTCCTCAGTCTGGAAACAGAAGAAATATAACAGAAGGGAAAGTCAGAGAAGATTCAAAGTATGAGAAGGACTCAACCCACTATGACTGATTCAAAGATGACAAAGAATGCAGCTGCCCTGAAGAAGCTAAGAGAAGGTTATCAGCTGACACCCAGCAAGAAAACAGACTTCAGCCCTATGACCACAGGAACCTGAATTCCACCATAACTTGAATGAGCTTGGAGACAGAGATCCCCCAAAGGCCTCCAGCTCAGAGCCCAACCCAGTGTTGATTTTGGAGCAAAGCAACCAGACTTCTAACCTACAGGCCCATAAGATAATCAATCTTTGCTATTTTAAGCCACTAAGCGTGTGGCCACTTGTTATGACAGCAATACAAAACTGCACCAGTTAATCAATCCAAATGTTCCCCTTATTCTTCAAGACACATCCAATTCGAGGCCTACTCAACTAATCCCAAATAATTTTCCTTTGCTAACCAATGCTAGCTTTTGGTTTCTGTCAGACTGGGCTCAACTTTGTACACAGAGCTTCCATTTTTTGAAGAAGGAAAATAAAACCAGTAGAGAAATAGCTAAACATTATAAATTCTGGGAGTGTGTGGCAGATGCAAAGTTGTGCTATCCAGAACCCCTTCAAGAAAGAATGTTCTATCCAGCTGTGAGTAAGCATAGTCAGTAAGCTGCTCCAGCTGTCAACACTTTCAGGACACGCTGGAGCTGCAGAGAGCCACCTATCCCAAGGCCATACTCTTTCCAAGGAAGTTTGCATTTGGTGACTGGGCGGGGAAGTGGGGATAGAGAGGGCAGCCATTTTGGCTCAACAGAGGCTACTCTAACAAGCAATATTAGCCCCAGAGCTTCCAGTAGGGTTGGCCAAGGCTTTATCAGGCCCACGTTGCAGTTTGACTTCTTCCTGTGCCCAATACTGCTCCCTACTTTCGTTCACAGATTAATTCCTAATAAACAACTTGGTCCCAAAACTCTACCTCAGCATCTACTTCTGGAGAATTCATACTGTGACAGAGTGGTAAGTACTAATAAGAAAATAAAACAAGTTAAAGAGATAGTGTCTGGGTAGCAACCCAGAGGAATGAGATAGCATAAATATTGTCATGCTACAAAAACTCAGAAAAGTCATAAAAAGAACTGTTTTCAAAATTATGGCTAAGGTCATATGAAAGTTAGGGAGATCCCAAAATGCAAGAAACACAAGTGAAACTGAAAATCAAAATAGTAAGAGTATAAGATGACATGGTATGGGGTATGAGAAGTAGTTGGGTGTGGAAATAGGACTTGATGGCTAGGGGATTTGATTTCATTTCACACACAGGGGTAGGACAATAGAACTTAGGCCCATGTGAAACAGAAATTGGAGCTGAGACCCTGCATAAACCTGGGAGCCTAACAGATCTGCATCCTCAGTAGAGGAAAGACTGGAAAAACTCAACCCATATGCCAATTAAAACTACAACAAAATTTATTCTACCATGAGTAAGAAAAAGAAATATCCCATAGGAAGCCAAATACCCAAGATTGTACCACACAAGCATTTGGGGTTCCACTTGAAATGTAAGTATAAGAATTTCGTATACTTAGCAATATAAGAATTTCCAAGCTGAGAATTAAAGTTCAGTATGTCATGAGCCAAAACATCTTTCGGGAAATGGGTAGCAGCAAAGCAGAGTACCCTGGATTCCCTCAGAAAAGAACAACACCTGCCGAAGATGAGCTCACAAGTTAGGACACATGTTAGAAAGTATCCAGGATGAGTGCAAGGCAAAACAATAAATTATAAAATAAACATAATGCAAGAGATTTTTTTGAAAGGTATAGAAACTACAAGAAAAGACTAAGACACATAAAAAAAAGGAAACCTGACAGATTTGGGGGTGAAAATACCACTAGAACCCCTAAAATAAAAATTTTAATCATTGACTATAAAATGCAATAGCAAATCAAACAGAACTGAAGAGAGAATTAGCAACATAGAAAATGGATCTGGGAACATTGCCCAACATTCCCATGAGGTGTGCCATTCAGATTTCCCTTCAAGATATTCTGTCGAGACCTGAGAGACAGCAGTTGATCAATAGTCCCAGCTACTGAACTTCTGCATTCACGTCTTTGACTCTGAGGCCTAGTCTCAGGGGCCCTAGAGCCCAGTCAGTCCTGCTCAACATTGAATTCTTCTATTGGGTAACTTGTTCTCACTGAGGTCTAAGGTTCTTACAACTGAATCCTTCTTTTCTTTTCTCCTATCACAGTTGTCAGCTTTGCATGGTGGTCTGAAGGCTCTCCCTGTCTAATCCTGCTCCTTTTAATTTTCCACAATTAATCTCTTGTATATCTCATCCTGCCTTGGTTTCTGCTTCTTCCAGAAGCCAAACTTACACAAAATATAACTAAAATAACCAAGCAACATCAGCATTGAATATAAGAGGAAGTAATCAACATAAGTATGTATAATAGTCCTTTTATTATATAAAGGCAAAGAGTATGTCAGAGAGTTTGATTAGATTTCTATCTTGTTAAGAACACATGTTTAAAATGTAGGGACAAACTTGTAAAGATTACAAACAGAGTCCATTGTTGCAAACCAAGAGAGGAGTAAAGAAAACTTTATTAATCTAATAAAAGTATATAAAAAGAAAAAGATAAAGAGGAAAAAAGTGAGATAACTAAAAAGTATAATTTATGATGACAGAACAATCCAAGGACAGTAATTACAATAAAATTGTCATTTAAGTTGAAACAATTATGAGTTTATTAAAAATCAAGTTATATAAGATAACAATAGAAACATTAACCTTAAAGTTTCCCAAAAATAGAAAATGAAGTTATATAGAAATAGATTCTAAGAAAATACTTCCTAAAAGTGGGGCTGCATTCTTAACATCAGGAAAAAAAAGAGTTTTAAGGGTTTTTCTAAAGCATCACAGGGAAAAGGAGGAGCATTCTATAATTATAAAAATAATTTACTGGAAGTATAATCATGAACCTGTAAGTACCTCATAACATAGCTTGAAATACATAAACAAAAATATGAGGAAAAGGGTTTCCAGGAGAAATGGAAATATACACAATCCTAATGAGAGCATTTGATATACCTCTCTCAGGAACTTAAAAATCAAAGGAATTGAGGATATAAAAGATTTGACTATAACAATTAACAAGTTATATATATATTATATATATACACACACACATATATATATATGTGTGTGTGTGTGTGTATATATATATATATATATATATATATATATATATATCCAGTACTAACTAACTATTCAAGAATATATTCTTTTTAACTACCTATGGAACATTTACAAAAATTGATCAAATTCTGTGGCGCAAAACTCAACAAGCACCAAAGCACTGACATAATACAGACCTCATTCTCTGACCATAGTGCAATAAAACTAAATCAACAAAATAACCCCCAAATCCCTTACATTTGAAAATCTTAAAATATAAGAGTTAAATAATCTGTGGTTCAAAAATTAAATCATCATGGAAATTTGAAAAATATTGAGAATTAAACAGTATTTTTAAAAAAACATTATATATTAGAACTAGTGGGATACAGCTGATGTCATACTTGAGAGGAATTCACAACCTTAAATTCATGTATTAAAGGAAAACTGAAAAAATAATGAGTTAAGCATCCAATCAAAAAGTCAGTGTAATATTTAAAAAGCAAACCCCCAATATGTAAAACAATAAAGAAAGAGAATGAACGGGTAGGATGGAAGTGGTTATTTATTTTAGACAGGAATGGTAATGCAGAAATATACAAAAAGCAATATTTTAGGGTATTACTCAAATATTTTAAAAATAACAATATACACATTTTGCTTTCTATTCTACCATGGAAGGTGACAGAAAATTGGCTTGGCAGCTTGCAGTTCATAGCAGTTGTATATATAGAATGGAAAAATCATGCATCTCTTGGCTCATGAATCCTCCCTCAGGGATAAAGTCATAAATGTAGCAAGTGCTAAGAGAACAGATCCCTCGAGGAAAAAATGATGACAGACTGTGTGGCGGGAGTTCATGCTGAAATTAGAGAGCCTCTCAGTTCTGTCAGCCAGTCACCCCTGTGAGAGCCAGCATCTGCACCTTGTGCCCCACCCCACGCAGCACTGCACCCCTATGGGAAGAAGGTCACCCT